AATCTTTCTTTTATCATGTCATAGACTGATTTATACAGTCATATACTGACCATATAATATATACTAGGTGGTTATAGTAGTTAGTCCCTTTTGTCCCCTAAAATGCAAAGGAGACTTGGTTAGATTCATTGTATCTTATTGAACTGGATCAAAAGTGACTGTAAATGAGTATAAACCAAATACTATTTTTAGAATTTCTATAACTAATAGGAAGAATATTTTTCCTAATTTGAATCCAAGTACTCACATAAATGCATTTTACTTTAGAGAAAAAAAATTCCCTAGCTTTAATTTATATGTGTTGTTATTGTTGATTAGACAGTTTATAGGGATAGGACCAATTTCTGTTTTGAGCCTAAATTATCAGCGTTTTTCTACAATCATTTTCAGGCCACACATGGAAACTCACCAGCATGCTATCCACCTGCTCCTTTGGTGTTTTTTTAATGTACCTTGCATTCCTCTGTGGCTAGAGACTAGGAGTGCTAATTTTGATTTGATGAAATGAGTTTATAAATATACTAATCAAATCACTAGTAATTTTGCCCAGTGCTTGAGAATATTTACGAACATCGCACTCTTCCTCCTGGGCTACACCCATTTTGCTCCATTCATGTCACTCTATATGTGTATCTGATACTGTCAGCGCTCAATTTCTAACTGTTGTCACCTTTTCCACATGTTCATTCCTTGCTGCCATTGATTCTCCTCCATTCCATCTCTACACTTCTGCTTATGTGGTGCATCTACACCCAGCCTCCTAAAAAGGCTCTGGACTATGTTCAAGATCATTCTTCTGGTGTTTCCAATGAGGTAAAAACAAATTATTCTCTTTTTCAGATTTCTCTCTTAGGACCTGTTACTGTGATTCTGAACATCTGTGTTTTACAATTCGCTAAAGTGTCTAAGCTGTTTTTGAAAATCTGTCTTTGCATCACTAGATTGTATCCAGTATCATTGCCTGGACATTAATTATACCAAAATTGTTGGCTCTTTGTGAAACATAGGTGAAGAATCATTCCGATCATTACTTGCAGGTGAACTATTCAATGCATCCTGGTATCCAGGAGTGTGATAATCAAAAAGCAAAAGTAGTAGTGTTAGTGCATATATTTGATTAGACTGAGTAAAATACTGCTAGAACTCTCTTCAGAGCCGTTTTATCATCATGCTTGGAGGTGTAGAATGACGGTTTATATTCTTAGATAATCGGATTTTTATGTCTCACATATTCCTAAAATTTAATTCTTTCATTTTCCTAAATACAATTTGTGGACTTTAGCATCAGATAAAATCAAGAATAGGGCTGACAAATAACTGGCACACATGTCACAACTTCCCAGTCAGATACCCTTGGCAGACATTACTAATCCTTCTCAATGCTATAATCCAGGCAGCCACTCTAATAGATTATCACTGGCAAATGAGATGAATTGCATTTTCCATCTCTGTATAGGAATGCTCATGACGATCTGATAGGTTAAAAAAAAAAAAAAATTTATGCCTGGCAATGTAAAGTGTTATTTGAATTAGTCAAAGAGAGTATGAAAAATAAATATTTTCATTGAAAAGTCTTAACTCAGTTAAATACATGCAACTAGAAAACAAAACTAGTAGAATACCTATGCTGCAGGATATACTACTGACACACGATAGTGACAACTGGAATTGCAGGCACAGTCTCAGGAGGAAATACCCAACTTTCTAGACCAATTTGCAATTCCAAATTATTTCCCCTGAGGTATGCATCACACTGTATGTTAAAACAGAGAAGTGTTGAAATATTTATATATTAAATAAAAAGTAAAATAGAGTAACCAGAAACATTCTGGGTTATTGAATTCAATAATTTCTAAAGGCTTATTTGCTATAGATAGGTGTATAATCTGAAGAAAATCAAATACAACAAGCAGTTCTATTCTGTGTGTCATGTTACCTCTAGATCTGAAGAAAGGGTATCATTTCAACACATGAACAGCCAAAGAATTTACTTTGGAATTCAATTTGGTCAGATATTTCTCTCAGACATCTTGGTCAGATATTTCCAAGATATTTTTAAGACAGTTAGTTCATTGAGAACTGAAATGGAGTTAGAGATCGCCATGTCTAACTCACTCATTTTTCAGTCAAGAAAAGTAGAGTCCAACTATTTTAAGAAATATGTCCAAAATCAGATGATAATATGGTGGCAAATTAAAAATAAAAAACAGATCGCTTAACCTTCACTTCAGTGCTGTTTCCTTTATACCATACTTCTTAGCAATTCCAAAAGGGATATTTAGAGCTCAAATCTTTTAGAAACAAATTATTTACTTAATACTATTTCTTATTAGCCATTAATTTCTGTGAAATACTTTTCTATAATTAACATTACACAATAATCCTTGGGATAAAAATAGTACAAACTTAATTCTATGCATTCTGTAATGTTAACAGTAGTGGCAAAAAAAATCACATACAGAAGCACTTTGCCGATGGTAAACTGATTTTGCATTATCTCTTAGGGATTGAGAAGGGGGTGCTGTATGTTCTGATAGCATATTAACTATATTATTAACTTCACATCGTGGTTTTTCAGTGTTAAAAAATCCTCTGATAAGGTACTGGATTCTCTCTCTAATAACCATACGTAAAACATTTCTGGTAAAATTTGTAATTGATTAGACATTATCTTAGCTACCATTTATCAATTGCCTAGTATATGCCATGAATAACATACTTTTTAATCCATAAATATAAGTGAGAAGCTGGCATTAATAAGGAACAATTAAGGACTTTTAAGCAAAGTTTAATCACATAGCAGAAAGAGCAATTCAGTGTCTGTATTTTATTAACATGACCTTCATTTAGGTGTATTAAAATAATGGTAATATGTAAATACTCAGTAGATCATAATAGGCAAAATAGCTACCTCCTTTCTGGAGACAATTTCCATTTCAGAATGAGTACTATTCATATACTTATCATACAAGGTTTTCTCTTAGTCATCTATCTAGACTTTTTATTGTTTCCTTATAATTTAATACTGAACCTTTCCTTTGAACACACATCACAATACTGGTTTCAGTTTATTTTAGGTTGTGGAAACCAGCACAAGGAGGAGTAATTGTAGTTTCTTAGCCTAAGTCTGAAACACAATTAATTTATCAGTATAGAGCCTTCACTTCTTACACTATGTTTTATCTCATATTACAGTATTGTTTAGGCTCATGATTCAAAATCATTTAGCTGGTGATTCAAAATTTCTGATCACTCTAGGGGTATTCTAAGAGTGTTCCACAATGGATACTTTTTGATGGCCAACTGTGGTTTGTGGTTGGATGTCCCATGAAAGCTGTGAGCCACACAGGTGGCAGTGCTCTGAGGCTCTTTGGTGTTGCTCTTCTGCAAACATGTAGAATTAATATTTCAAAATCAGAATATAATTACTTGTTTGCCATCCTTCTTATTTAGTATTTATCTTTCCACCTTTCTGGTGTCCAATTCAGAGTAGCTGAATAGTTAAAATAGTCATGTAAACTTATCCGATTAGCAGACCAATTTTCTTCTATCTTTATATTTATTGAGAAATTCAGAATCTAAATGTTTTACAGGAACTAAAAGTATTATAATATGCTTTTCTCTGTCTAGAGAAAAGAGAGGGTAATATTCTCTTGCAGAGAGATGCTTTTGTTTCTTTTTGGGCAATTCCATTCTCATTCAGTAAAAATGAAAATATTAGTTAATAGAAGCAATTTTAGAGTTATGCACAAGGGGGATTGTGTGTGTGTGTGTGTGTGTGTGTGTGTGTATATACTTGGTAGGCATTTCCCTATACATCCTAGACATCATACATCATACCACAACTACTTTCATCTCAAATTCATATCTAACAGTTTTGTTTAATATCTGTTTCATTGTATCGTTCAGAATGAAGAAGTATGAAAATGGTGTGTACAATAAGCATTTGGAATTATTTATCAATTTGTATCATCTATTTTTCTTTGTCCCTAAAACCATGGATAACTGAGAGCTGATTTTCTGACTAAAATGTTAAAAGTACACTTTTCTAAAGAAAGGTTATATTTTGGTTCATTAAATCATTTATTTTAAACTAACCCTGAACATAACTAATTTCAAAGATATAAATCTGTACCTGATTTAAGAACCAGGTAGTCTAGTTTAATTTCAAACCAAATTCTGTGGTTTTTATTAAAAAGTCATGTCTATGTTAACCAATGAAAGAAGTTCTGCTTACATTTTATGTCTACATAAAAATAACACCTGGCAACATGACAAAAATTTATAAAGAAGGTTATGTTTTATAAGGATTGAAGACTACAAATATTTCTTTAAACATCAAACCATTCCTTTATGTAAGAAATTTCTATTTTTAGTCTATTTCTACATGAAGGAGTGGTTATTGATTTTTCTTTTTCCCCCTCAGGCAATGTTTGATTTATGAATATTTTGAGTTACACAGAGAAGAGCGGTGCTGTACAGTCGACCCTCCATATCTGTGGGTTCCACATTCACAGATTCAACCAACTTAGGGACAAAAATATTCCCCCACAAAACATTCCAGAAATTTCCAAAAAGCAAAACTTGTATTTTCCATGCCAGCAACTATTTCCATAGCATTTACATTGTATTAGGTATTATAAGTAATCTAGAGATAATTTACGCAAGGATGTGGGTAGGTTATATGCAAATAGTACACCATTGTATATGAGGGACTTGAGCATCCTCAGATTTTGATATCCTTGGGGAGGTCCTGGAACCAATTCCCATCAGATACCACAAGGGATGACTGTATATTAGAAGAGGAAGTAGATAAGAACAAAGTAGAAATTAGGTTGCATGATTTCTCTTCGGGAAAACATTTTTATGCCCAAAGTAAATGGTATTTTTAATCTCAATTTTGACAGTATTCTTTTTAGGATGCCTACTATAATGTCCAGGGACAAACAAAATTATGCTATGGTAAAAATTTTCATGGAACTATCTTTCTATCTTAACAGGCCTCCTTGTATCAATCCTCTATAGACAGGAGCCTGGAAAGACCCACTAGGTAAGAGTCTCATTATTATGCAACCAGGATATTCTATATCAGTGGTTTCTTTTTCAGTGAACTAGAAATGAAAAATTATGTATCCCTCATCTTTATTTTAAGCACCATAATTCATGAAGTTGTTTTAACTTGTTTCTGCATCATTTTATATGACCATATTCAAGAATGTATAAAAATTAAGTAAAATAATTCTAGATTCCATTACAGGCTGAGAAATTCTTGCCTTCCCTGTCTCCTCCATACCCAGTTTTCTTCTCCTTAGATAAGTATAATAAACATCTAATTTTCAATATTGTTAGATGATGTGATGATATATTTGAAAAAACTGTAATAAGTTAGAAAAAATTTTATAAATTATGTTCTACATATGTTTGTTCATTATACACTGACCACACAAATCAGGAATGCTGTTACAACTGATAAATGGGAACTTACTATATACCGGGCATTCTAAGTACAGAAACATACTCAATCCCTAAGATTTTATCTCTAGTAAACTGAAACTTGGGCTCCATAACATACGAAGTTTACACAGTTGGCAAAATAACTTGTAGGTCCTAACTGTGCTAAGAGTCTACCAAGGCAAGTTCTGTTCGTAGGCTTTAAATATCACTCTTACTTTAAAATATTACAGAAGTTCAGACACAGTAGAATGACAATAATGAATAATGCAAACTCCCAGCCATATCATATCATCAACAACAAATATTTATATAACAATAATTTGCCCTTCTACAGATTTCTATCAACATAAATGGAAAAGTAAACTGGGTCCTTTGTACATTGGTTTCATGTGTGCCATTCAACAGCATTAATGTCACTGAGAAAGGAGCTCCCTGAACCCCTTCTTTTATATCTTTTACAATTATGTATGCATCTAAAATGTTTGAATTTTAGTTAGTTCTAATCTGATCTAAGGATTTACGTAGAGACACACAGACACTCATGTGACAGGATAATGACAGCAAAAACAGGTCTAGGCGAACATGGGTGTCCTCTTTAGAAGAATGCAGACCAATTCTGAGGTCTGGCTCCACCTCTGTACTTGCAAAGCTTGCAGGTTACATTTATTCATTTGTAAAACAGTGACAACAGCACATAGCTCAGCAGTTGCCGTGCATGCTGTGTAAGACAATAATGACAGTAAAGCAAATAGCATACTTCTGGTTCATAAGAGCTGGTGTGCTGTTGCTGCTGGTGGTGGTGGAATTTTATCTAATGATTTGACAGACAGCATGCTATGTGAGGTATATATTCGTTCACTAATGTTTGTCTTAAATGATATTACACTCAGATCCAGAACCATGATATAAAGTCCCTGCCCTTACAAACTGTCGACACCTTTTAATACAACCAGGTAAAAGGACTCTAATAGTTTATTTGATGATCAGATTATTGGTCATTCATTATTTAAACAGAAAAACGTTGGAATTTCAGTGTAAGTTTTTTAAAGCTAAGATTATTAGGAAAAGCCATAGGGAAAGCTCGAGGTAAGAAAAATTGGTCTTACCAGATCTTCTTCTTTTTTCCAATCCTTTCCTCCATTTTGGCATCCCTCCTCCAGATATATTCATGTTGTTGCAACTGTTCTGTATAGAGAAAAGATGTATGGTACAAATCCTAACACTGAATTGTCAGTAACAAAATATTACACTAACAGGAGAATTTTTACTTTAAAAGGTGATTATGTTCATACAAAAAACCTATACATGAATGTTTATAGTAGCTTTATTCATAACTGCCAAAACTTGGAAGCAAACCAAGGTGTCCTTCAATAGGTGAATGGATAAACAAACTGTGGTACATCCATATAATGGAATATTATTCAACAATAAAAAGAAATGTGCTATCCAGCGACAAAAGGACATGGAGGAACCTTAAGAGCACGTTGCTAATGAAAGAAGCCAATCTAAAAAGGGTACATACTGTTGGTTCCAAATATGTGACATTTTGGGAAAGGTAAAACTAGAGACAGTAAAAAGATCAGTGATCACCAGGTGTTCACAGGGAGGGAGGGATGAAGAGGTAGAGCACAGGGGACTTTTATGGCAATGACACTACTCTATATGATACAGTAATGAGGGACACATGTCATCATACATTTTTCAAACCCATAGGATGTTCAACAGAAAACATGAACCCTAATATGAACAATGGACTTTAATTACATTTAATGATAATATATTGATATGATTCATCAACTGTAAGAAATGTACCACACTAATAGAAGATGTCAATAACAGGAGAAAATGTGTGCAAGGGAAAGGGAGTATATGGGAACTCTCTGTACTTTCCAATCAATTTTTCTGTAAACATAAAACTGCTCTAAAAGATTTTAAGATTAAAAAAAAAACTGCTCTAAAAAAATTAAGTCTAGGAAGTCCTAGCCACAGCAATCAAACAAGAAAAAGAAATAAAAGAAATACAAATTGAAAAGGAAGATGTGAAACTGTCACTGTTTGCAGATGAGTCTATTAATTTTCAAAGAGGTGATTATAAAGAAATAGTTTTTAATATCAAGGAATGAATTCCTAAGAATGCAGTTTGGGGGATGGGAGATAAGAGGCATACCATGGCCACCAGCACCTTCCACTAGTCTTTCTGATTCAAAGTTGAACCCCCTGCAACACCAACCAAACTGAAGCTGATTCCTTCTTTCAGTTCTGCAAGCATGGCCAGTGACTTCAGGAAAAGGAGGAAGAGCGAGCCTGCGGTGGGGCAGCCGAGGGGCTTGGGGGATCCAACTGCAAGCAGAACTAGCCCAGGTCGAGCAGACCTCCCAGGATCAAGCTCCACCCTGACAAAGTCCTTCATTAGTTCTTCTCCTTCTTCCCCATCAAGAGCAAAAGGTGAGCAGCAATAAATGACATATAAACAATTTACTAGTTTAAGTTTTAACTATGGGAGAGCTGGTCCAATGATAACTACCCAGAAATAGTTAGCATGTAAATAGTGTCTTAAATAAAATATAGTTTCAGAAAAATAGCTTTCTTTATACACAGACTAAATCAAGATGGTGAACCATTTGAGTGGCTTAAAGGACTCTTATCATCTGTTAATGCTTTCTTTCTTCAAATATATTGTGTGTGTTTTCTGGAACAAATTTAAAGTATGAAATATTGTATTGTCAGGCTATTAAAAGATTACAGTTCCAAACATTTGCATATTGTCAACATTTTCTAATGTTACTACAACTAGAAAAATTAATCAGATATATAGAATAGAAACTAGAAGTAGCAACAGAGAACGTTGTTGCCTAAAACATAAATTGGTTTTGGATTTTTTAAATTATTTAATTCTAGACAAAAGTTTGTCTAACCTATGAAAGTTGTTTCTTTAATCACTTGCTTTATATTTTGGTCAATATCCATACATACAGTAGAATATCCATGTTCTGCATGTAACATAGTGTTCAATTCAAAACAGTCCACTAGTAAGAACTAACTGGTTTCAGGCCATAATTGTAAAGTTTAGATATCACCAAGCCAATTTTCTGTATGGCCTGTCTCCTCTCTTGAAATTTAGTGAATTGTGTTGAAAGGAAGATGTCACTCCTTCAAGTCTCTGTTTAGTTACACATTACTGCAGCTGTAACAGGAATATTCCCAAAATAGAGACCTAGGAATGAACCAGTATCCATAGGTACCTAGGATTTGGGGACTCAGGGTCTCCTCCAATCCTCTGGGGTTGAAACATAAGAGAGAAGAAATTTGAAGTGTGTGAAGAAAGTGAGTTGTAACTGAAGTTTCCATAAAGTAGCAGAGATTCAGCTACGCAGATTGAATGTAGGCACTGAAAGTGTTGCCACATGAAATTAAAGCTAAGAGTTAGCTGGTCTGTGTGCAAAAGATTTGATGATTGGGCTCTGGATAGGCAGGAGGTGCTAGCTCTTGTCCGTGGCCTAGTAAAGCTATGACTACTTACTGGGAGATTCACAGGGAGGGATCCCCTTTCACTATACCATTCCTCAAATTAACAGAAGTACCCGTATTAGATTCTACTCATTTATATAAACAAATACCCCAAGGAAACCAATAGGTCATGAAATGCCATTGACTCATTATGCTTGGATACCACCCAAAAGTTAAAAGGGTTCTGATTAATTTAGATATTTGTTTTTATCCTAGGGGGTGTTAAGTCAACTTCCTTTCTCAAATACTACACAGCTACTTAATGTGCTTATCACTTTTGAAGAATTTGGAGAAGGCAGGAGCTGTCAATAGAGCTGTTTTCCTCCACTAGGCTTGTTTCTAAGAAGAAAATGTCCCATCAGATGTAATTTGGCCTCTCATTTATTAATTAACTCAGCAACACAAAAGAAAAGACTATTTCCATAGATATTCGAAATTGATGTCAGGGTTAGCTCTACATTATTATATTGCAAATGATTTTTTAAAAAGACCCTTCCTGGAAAAAAGCAAGTGCATTTAACTGTGATGAAAGTTTTACATTATATCCAGTTATCCTTATGGGAAACTGCCTAATAAGAGGTTGAAGTTAGAGAAATTAAAGAGGTAAATTCATTTGTTTAAAGAGTTGCTAGTTGGGTTTTTTCTTAGAAAAATATTAGCAGCAATAGTTCACAGCAACTGAACTTGATTTTGCAATTTGGGAAAGTATTTTGTCTTATAGCTTTTTCTACCTAATGCCCATGAAAAATTATTTGATACGGTTATGGAAGTATTAATTAAATGTAAATTTATAAGTTACTCTTTACCTCTTTATTGTTATAAATTAATAATATTATTAATAATTAATAATATTATTATAAATCAAATAAGATTCAAATCCTGACCCTATTAAGATGTTTAAATCTATGGCATTTTGGTATTAATTACAAACCTTTTAAGTCACTACCAGGTCATGCTATTAGCTTACAAGGCACTACTGGATTTTTGAATACCATATTTGCAGAAAGATGGATGAAATATGCAATAGAAATAGGCGTATTAGTGACACCAGTTACTTTTTATACATGTTTTTGTTAACTATCATCTGCAAAGCTACATTTATTGCCAAAGCATTGCGTTGCTTTAGAATTAGGCTTTTTTCTCTAAGTTGAAGCTACACGTATAACAATCAATGTCTAGATTAAACTCCACTAACTGCTTTCTCTTTGCTGTGCTATCTGATGCTAACTGACATGCTCTCCTCTTTATGAGCCTTTTAACTTCTCCAACGTCTCTCTTCCACCACGCTGCCCTGGAATAAAAGGTGGGGACGATAGCAAAATATGTCCATCCCTTTGCAGTTACTCAGGGCTCAACGGCAACCCCTCCCATGAGTTAGATTACTGTAACACTTACAGACAGCATTTGGACATCCCACATGACTCGCAGAGGGCCATTACTTTCAAAAATGGCTGGCAAATGGCCCGGCAAAACGCAGAGATCTGGAGCAGCACTGAAGAAACGGTTTCCCCCAAAATCAAATCCCGTAGCTGTGATGACCTTTTAAACGATGACTGCGATAGTTTTCCTGATCCGAAAGCCAAGTCAGAAAGTATGGGTTCTCTGTTATGTGAAGAGGACTCCAAGGAGAGCTGCCCCGTAACATGGGCTTCCCCCTACATCCAGGAGGGCCGCAGTAATAGCAGATCAAGGCTCCGACACAGGTCAGCCCACGATGCCCCAGGGTTCCTAAAACTGTACAAGAAAATGCACCGCATCAACCGCAAGGATTTAATGAATTCAGAGGTGATTTGCTCTGTAAAGTCAAGAATAATGCAGTACGAAAAGGAGCAGCAACACAGGGCTCTGCTCCATGGATGCAGCCAGTCCTCCACGGAGGAGGTGCCCAGGGACATGGTCCCCACCCGCATTTCTGAATTTGAAAAGTTGATTCAGAAGTCAAAATCCATGCCAAATTTAGGAGATGAAATGTTATCTCCTGTAACCCTAGAACCACAACAAAATGGTTTATGTCCCCAAAGGCGATTTTCCATTGAGTCTTTGCTGGAGGAAGAAAATCAAAGTAGACACCCTTCTCAGGTACAACGAAGCTACAAGTCTAAAACCCTGGTGCCCATCCACATTGAAGTCACCAGTGATGTGCAGCCCAGAACCCATCTGGACTTTTCTGATAGTGACCAGGATGGAGTCGTGTCTGACCACAGTGATTACCTTCATGTAGAAGGATCGTCCTTTTGCAGTGAGAGTGACTTTGATCACTTTTCTTTCACATCCTCTGAAAGTTTTTATGGATCCAGCCACCATCACCACCACCATCACCACCACCATCACCGGCACCTCATCAGCTCCTGCAAAGGCAGATGCCCTGCCTCCTATACTCGATTTACAACAATGTTAAAACATGAAAGAGCTAAACATGAAAATACTGAAGAGCCCAGAAGACAAGAAATGGACCCTGGCCTTTCTAAACTGGCATTTCTAGTCAGTCCCGTGCCTTTTCGGAGGAAAAAAAATTCAACTCCCAAAAAACAGATGGAAAAGGCAAAATGTAAAACATCTGTATTTGAGGCTCTGGACTCTGCCCTTAAAGACATTTGTGACCAAATTAAGGCTGAAAAGAGAAGGGGAAGTTTGCCAGACAACAGTATACTGCACCGTCTTATCAGTGAACTGCTGCCAGATATTCCAGAAAGGAATTCATCACTCAAAGCTCTAAAAAGGAGCCCCATGCACCAGCCTTTCCACCCACCATCTCAAGAAGGTGCTATTCATTGTCCATTGTACCAGAACGATTGTGGGAGAATGCCTCACAGTGCCTCCTTCCAAGACGACACCAACAACAACTACCACCACCAAGACCACGACAGTGCACTGGGCCTCCAAGGTGGATCAACTTTTCTATCTTTTCCCTTGTGGTTCAGTTGCCCACCCTCCAGCTCTTTCATTTTCCATTCCTACATTCATCATTCTTGAGCTGTGAGACCACTTGGATTCATTATGCATTGTGAAGCAAATGCTTGTTGTGCAAACGTGCCTTACTGAATAGTTCTCATTTGCTCATGGGATATCCGGACTTGATGTGTGGCTTAAAGTAATCATCAATTCACAAAAATTTACTCATTCAGAATCGAAAGGGAAAACCATTTTGTAGCTTGATGTTAGGGTTGAAACAACTGTTACATAGAAACAACCAATTAAACTTATTTTACCAATTTAAAAGAATTTCAAGGCAAAAATCATAATTGAGTATCAGTATCCTTAAGAAACTGACAACTTTGCATTAGCTCTTTTTTTGTTGGAAAATGAATCAAAACCAATAGTTTAACAGTCTTTTCCTTGATTCTTATATTAACTTTATAGTCATTCATTCAATAAATAATTTGCTGACATTCTATATAGAAGATACTAAATCAAAACACTCAGGAAGCAAACCAAAATATGTAATATAGTAATTGATCGGCGATTAAAAGAGAATAGGACTTGTTTAATAACTTTCTCCATTTAAAAGATACAATTGGGATAAAATTTTTGTGAATATATCTTTAAGCTCTCTATATATGTCTCATTTCCATCATTCATTGTATTCATTTTCTCTTCCCTTCCATTATTTAATTAATTTATTTTCTATTTCTGCTAAAACAACCCTATACTGACATTTGAATTAGACTATTTAGGATAAAAGTGACTCTCGACTTCATTTTCATAGATGGATTATTCCTTAAAGTGGAACACAAGGACAAATAGCAATTCAAATACAGAGGACATTTTTTCAGGTTTACGTTACTGAAAAACACAGGATGTTTTGATATTTTTATCCAATTCTTTTCATTAATGCTTAAAGTGCATCTGTTTACTGTGTAAATTTTAGGAAGCTGGAATGAGTATTCCAGGCTGAAACTTGGATTGTCAAGAGAGTTTTCTATGCACCAGACACTGCAAAGTGCTTTACATACATTATCTACTTAACACGGCATAAACCTAGGTGATATTGTAAATACTGTTTTACAGTGGAGGAAATCAATACCCAAAGAGGACAAGAAATCTGACCAAAGTCACACAGACAGTAGGTAGCAGAAACAAGATTCAAACTCATGTAATTCAGAATTTGTAGCATAGAATATAATCTCTATAGGCAAAAAAGAGACATAATTCAGATGTCATATTAATGTACTATATATAGCCCAATTGTTAGTTACCATTGCACACATTTGTTTATCTTATTAGTATTTATCTTTGCTTTCATTTATACTATATGACATGCTTCAAAAACGGTAAATTCAAATTTTCTAAATCAATGCCAACAATCTGAAATTTTCACTGATTGAGACATGTCATAACCTAATGTTTTAGTAAATTAGCTACTTTTCCAGTTATTCAATATCCGTTACATTTCCACATATAATGCATGCGATATAAGATACCATTAATAGATACTTGCAATCATTATTTTATAATGTAATTAACCATGTATATTTTGTTTTAAGGTGAACAAAAACAATGCAATAGTTCATAAGTAATTTGGCAACCAATGCAACACATTCTGTTTAGAAATTTTTATCCCTTTGTTTATTGGAATAGATATTCACTTTCTAATAAGATAGTTGAGCACAAAGGAAGGCAATAGGTAACAGCCTTTTAAGCCTTAAGCTTTAAGATGCCATCTTCAGACTCAATAAGTAATTAAAAACAGAGAGAGGGCTTCCCTGGTGGCGCGATGGTTGAGAGTCCGCCTGCCGATGCAGGGGACACGGGTTCGTGCCCCGGTCCGGGAAGATCCCACATGCCGCGTAGTGGCTGGGCCCGTGAGCCGTGGCCGCTGAGCCTGTGCGTCCGGAGCCTGTGCTCCGCAACGGGAGAGGCCACAACAGTGAGAGGCCCGCGTACCGCAAAAAAATTAAAAAAATAAAAACAGAGAGAAAGAGGGAAGAGAATGGCCATGACATAGTTCTGTCATCATCATACTTTATTTTTCTCTCTTTTTCATTACTATGTTCTTAAATTAAGTCGTTGCTACCTTCTCCATCTTCTCCAGGCCCTATCATAGTAATTATAAACTGGTGGCAAAAAGAATAGAAATAGAAAGTATTAAATCTTTGAAGTGAACAATCCCTGTAACTGCAAATTGTCTATACCAGGTGCTACAGTATAATTATATCAGCAATGTTACAATTATATTTATATTTATGATTATAATACTTCTGCCATCTTGTATTGCAGAAAAAGGAAAAAATGGGAGAATATCCATTTTTCCTCTTAAAATGCTCTGTTTTTGTCTTATATCACAACTTTACAATTACCCATGAGTTTTAGACCCATGTGTTCCATTGCAGTGTCTCTCCAAATGTGAAGGGTAAATAGTTGCCACCAGGAAAAATGGCTAAACAAGTCTGCCTTTGGTTAAGTGGAATCTCACTCTGGCCCTGTCCTTTCCAATAGACCGTGAGTCCCCTAGAAGTTACACATCCACGCTGACCGATTTGGGGAGAAGTGTACCAAGGGAAAGAAGAGGAACTCCAGAAAAAGAGGTAGTCTTTTTAGTATCATTTGAGTCTTTTTCACCAATATACTTGATAAAGCACTTGCCAGCTGAAGTTACCTCCAAAACCAGTAAAGAACCCAGATTAAAAACACAAAAGTGATGGCAGAGAAACTAGAAACAGTTTTCCCTGGAGCCTGAGCAAAGGACTTGAAGCCAGCTGCATTCTGACCCTAGCAGCAGGTCTCCCCCAGTTGTAATCCAGTTTGACAGTGACTCTCTGAATCTTGACCTGACACCCATAAATTAAAGAGTCTTGAGCTGAGCCGCCCCTTGGAGGAAGAAGGTTTCCCCTGTACAAATTTCTGGCCCAGTGATGTAGGGGACAGCCCTAGGTCAGCCGTGCTGCCAATCAATACAAATTCCATAGAAACAATTTTTGCTGGCCTGCTTTTGTTAGAGAGGATCCCTGAAAAAAAAAAAAAACACTGCCCCTGAGAACCACCCACCTACTGGCTCTTGTCCATGGTCCTGAGCCAGGGCTGGAGGTCTGGCTTGTACTTTCTTGGAGCCATGAAGGTTTGATAGAAACTGAAGGCTGGTCTTGGACTGGCAGGCACTCTAGAAAGTTCTCTACAGGTGTCTGACATAGTCCAGGGCCTGTGGACCCCCAAAGAAGTCAGAAATGATCCAGGTTGCCCAAAGTTCACCAGAGTCACAGGGAAAGAGAGTGAGGTGAGGGGATTATTGGAATCAGAGAGGAAGTAGCTACAGGTGGCCCAGGCAGATCTGTGGGCCCCGAAGCTTGAGTGTGGGCACGAGTCACATCGTATCATGACTCAAAGATGAGCAGCTGGTTTACTGTGTGCTGAGGAATTCCTGAACTCTCCAGGGAATATAAAGTGACCAGCCTATACTTTTGGCCACTAACGAGCCTCTCAGTGATAAGTGGGCTAATATTTCTTTGCTACTATGTCAATTAGTATTTAGTAAAAGGGGTAATGACTTCCCTCATGTCTTTTTCCAGTCCTTTTATTATGATTCAGAAGTTGTGTCAATACTTAGGACATACAGCAATTGACCTCCCACAATTATCCCAGGAAAAGCCAAAATTATACCTAGGACTGAATCCTCTGCAGGCATTTTAGTCCCCTTTTATGGCATTCTTTTACCTTAGTTCCTAAGATGAAATATGATATTCAATAGTTAGGGTGAATAAGTCATCTGTTACATTCCTGTTGTAGTTTAAATATCTAAATAAAGAACTAATTGATTTATTTATAAATTGCATAAATGATTTAAATTGTATATGTTTAATCATTCCTTGAGGTTTCATTTCTCTTTAATTCATGTGAAACTGCTTTTTTATAGGAAATCCATAATTTTAAGTTAGCGCTAACCATTTCCTTCATTTTCAGAAATTGCCTGCAAAAGCTGTTTACGATTTTAAGGCTCAGACATCCAAGTAAGTAAGATAAGTGTTCATCATATGATTTAAGTTGACTTTAAATACATTAATAATACTTTGAAAGACAAATATTGCACTGGGATGTGTTACAAATAAGACCTAATTCCCAATTCAGCAATCTACTCTAATTAAATGGTTCCTTCTGAATTGACTGGGATGTGGGTAATTTTATTTTCATTTTGAGTTTAGTTGAGAAACATTGAGTTTTAAATTACACCAAACACGTTAGAGCACAATGAGTTCAAAAGGATAGGAAAAAAAAAACGAAATTAAGGATCGTTGTTTCTACAATTTTCATGTGGAGAGTGAAGTAAAAATAAATTGTTGGGGGAGTAACACTTAACTGGAGAATTTTATATCATTTATTTATCCAACTATATTAAGGATAGCTTGTGGTTAAAGACTAGAATTGTTTATGAAGATTCCTGCAGTAAAATCTCCATTTCTCAATACTCAGAGCTTAGAGACTCTGAGCACAGTTCTATCCTGTGGTCTTTTGATGTTGGTGTTTTCATACTCCTGTCTCGTAATTTTTTTACCTTTTTTTTTTTTTAGGAATTTGTTCATCAGGTGAGCATAGGGTTGGGGAAGGCTAGTACTAAGCACATAAGGAGGCTTAAATAGGAGTGAGTTTTCCAGCTCTGTTATGGCCCATGTCACAGACCTTACTTAAGAAACTTTGGTCTCCATTAGAATTCAAGATATTGCCATTAAATTATACCGTGCTGTTTAGCTGAATATATATACAATAACCAAAGCATTTATTCATAAAAATGCATATTATATGAATTAATAGTTAAAGAATCTATCTCTGACAGAAGACACAAAAAATAAAATCACTCAGAATTTGGGAATTAAATTAACTAAATAAGAAAATTCTCTTTAGAAGTGAAGATGTCAAATATGGCTTAAATCTGGGGTTAAAAAGAATCCTGAAGGGAAGCTTACAATTTTTTTTGATGAGATAAGTAACATCTGCTCTGTTTCTACTACACTATGGTCCTAGCTACTGTTCTTTGGATATGGTGTGATAATTTGTACAAGGCATGTCAGTTTTATAAAATAATGACATAAAACATGTAAATTTCATTTCTTCTTTGTGAAAATCGATCAAAAGTGTCCTTAGATGTATGAAGCCCTGAGAAATAACAGGGCATATAAAATATGCCCAGGGCTCACAGGCTTTTTGAGAAACCTTAATTAGAAACAGGCATTGAAAGAAAGATGAGGTACAGTGCAGAGGAGAGGTGTTTGTGGTGTTGACTCTGTCACTGGATTGCATTTGCTCCAAGTGCCCAGCCCCTCACCCTCCTCCAAGACCACATCCTCGCTGTGAACGTCTGACGTTGGCAAAGGTTCAGGGAAACCCACTCTCCCACACGCTGCCCGTGGGAGTGTAAATGACACAGCTGTTCTGAAGGGCTGTTTGCACCATCCCACTTTCACAAAGGTCTTCCTCAACCAACGAAATCTAATTGTATTATAAGCCTCCAGAGAAGTGAACTGAACAATCACCCATGGAAACCATCCCATAATTTTAGTAAGAAAAAAAACTGTTTCCCCCATACCATCAATAAGTTTATCTGATTGCAGCTTAATCACATTCCTCTTGTTCTGTTCTCAGGAGATGTAAAGAGCGGTTGTCTGTCACCCCCAATGTAGTTATGTACCTGACACAAAAATCAAGGTTATGGATGACTCATGCAGCTTTAAAAAAAGGTTCACAGAGCTTCCCTGGTGGCGTAGTGGTTGAGAGTCCGCCTGCCAATGCAGGGTACATGGGCTCGTGCCCCCGGGAGGATCCCACATGCTGCAGAGCGGCTGGGCCCGTAAGCCATGGCCGCTGAGCCTGCGCGTCCGAAGCCTGTGCTCCGAAACGGGAGAGGCCACAACAGTGAGAGGCCCACGTACCTCAAAAAAAAAAAAAAAAGGTTCACACACCCAGAGGGCACTGAAAGTTTCAGGAGGACCAGCCACATTTTTAAGTCATTTCAATCATTAGCTAGATGTGAGGGTTAGCAGACATTTGGTCCTATCCAAAATGTCCATGAACATATTTGGCTCATGCCAAATTGTTCTGGACAGGACCAAATATCAAGGACCTTTTCATGTGGACCAAATGTCTCATGGACATTTTGGGCAGGACAAAATGTCCTGCAAGAGATGTGAGTGCTTTTTGTGCCTAACATCTTACAAACAAGAGACAGATATCTCTGTTTCGAATAATTATCTGTTTTAAAAGCTGTTTTTCTTTACCTAACACAAGAAAGTTTAATTTTCAAAAAGACAACTAAGTAACTCACCAAACATAATGTCTCAACTGTTAAGGAGGAAAACGAGATAAAATGCTATTCCCAAAGGTTGTCAGTGGCCACTGTTCAAAGGTGGTAGGCGCTGGTTGGAGCAAACTGGTCAAAATGGGACTCTTAGAAAGAAATTCTAGTTCTGAGATGAGACGAACATAATTTTGAAAACTGGAGGGTGAGACCACTGTTTTTTCTAGACGACTTCAAAAATTTAAATACAAGTCTTTACACATAGAAATCTTTTCACACTTAAAAAAATGTAAATAAGAGACAACTAATTATTTTTCTTTTAAGCTAAGCTTCCTACTCTCATTTCCAGAAATAAAACATACCTGGTATAAATAAAACAGTTGGTTTGTAAACATTAAACATTTGGGGTTTTATTTTCTACATTAGGCACTTGCATAAAAGAGGGAAGTACTCTATTTGAATGTCAGGCCCTGTGAATCTTGTTTGCTTTTAGGGTTACTGAAAATTTAACACAGATTCAATGTGAAAGTTTTAGCACTTCTAAATGGGTAATAATTCTTTTTACTATGCAACTTTTTTTCAATTAATTCTTTTAATCAACACAAAATATTCTACATCTGATATAAACCTCTCTCCATTATGTACTCTGCACACATAAATGATCCAACTCAAGATTCTGAACAAAGCAACGCAGAAGATTTGGGAGTGGGAAGGCAGATGTGTGTGAAAATGGGGCTCTTGGCAAAAGATCTGAAATAAGTACCCTCCAATGAGACATAATTGTGGAGGCAAAATAACACAGAGACACAATTACCTGGGGGATAAAGCCATAAAAACCTGAAGCAGTGAGGGTGAGAATTTAGGCGTGAATTATTTATGATGACTAATGTCTTTATAACTTAAAATTAAATACTCCAATTTATGTACTGTCTCCTTAGAAACAGCCCAAATGGAAAAGCATAGTTAGTTTCTTGAAAATATTTTTCTATTTAAAAAACAAAAGATATAAAGGCGGTTACAAGCCATCTGTGCATGTCTTTGCGCTTGAAACACGTTTATCTTTGTGACTATAGTTAATAATACTGTACTGTATCTAAGAGAGTAAATCTGAAAGGTTGTCATCAGAAGAAAAAAACATTGTAACATATGTGGTGACCAGCTGTTAGCTCAACTTACGGTGGTGGTCATTTTGCAATACATACAAATACTGAACCATTATGTTGTACACCTGAATCTAATATAATGTTACAGGTCAATTATACTCCACTTTTTAAAAATGTTTATCTTTGTGCCTCACTGAAAAATCAAAGTATAAAATCTTTTCTGTTTCACAAAATAAATTCATTAGCAAGATATTCTACTTAAATGCCTGTCAAGCAGCTTCAAGGATCCACAAATAAAATTTCTTCTCATGTTGGCACTTCTGTGCTAAGGCTAAATGATACTGGTTTCCTTATTGTAAGCTTTAACATATCAGAAGGAGACAGAAAGAGAGAGAGAGAAGTAAGTAACCAACTAGCTTCAGGACAAGTAAAAATCGCTGCGGAATGAATCCAGCCTTATGGCAAGCTTCCGGACTCCTCTACTCTAAACCAATGACTAGACAGCAAGTCTGTCCCCGCCTTTAAATTTCATATTAATCTGCCTGTGATTTAAATCAGATGTGATGTTTACATTTGTTCTTTTTGAAATCATTTCTAAAGTTACAATGTTTCAAAGGAATTCTAAAAATTTTCAAGGAAAATCCTCATCTAACTGGACTCAACAGATTTTTTTCAATATTGGAAGTATATTTCCCAGCCACATACAGATCTAGCGAGAATCTTGATGTTAAGAATAATCGCCATACATCCGGAAAAAAAAAAACATTCAAATGTATCTCTTCTAGGGAGCTGTCATTTAAGAAAGGAGATACTGTCTACATCCTCAGGAGAATTGATCAAAACTGGTATGAGGGAGAGCACCACGGGAGAGTGGGCATTTTCCCAATCTCATACGTGGAGGTAAGTCCCTTCCCCTTCCTCCTTACGTGGTTGCTGTTTCCAGGATTACCACAGGTCAAGCATAAGTAACTGTTCTCCTTCATAGAAACTCACACCTCCTGAAAAAGCACAGCCTGCCAGACCGCCTCCCCCTGCCCAGCCTGGAGAAATCGGAGAAGCTGTAGCCAAATACAATTTCAGCGCTGACACAAATGTGGAGCTATCGCTGAGAAAGGTAACCTGCTTTCTTCACTGGTGCATTTGAAAGGCTGTATATTTTCACAACTAAGTTAGGTCATCTTTTTCCTTAGACATTTTTGTGTCTCCCTCATTTTCCGCATAGAACTCCATCAGGCTGCCCTGAGTCACTGTTACCTGCCACTCCTATGTCCTTCCAGATGAGGTGCCTGTGGGATGCAAAGCTTCTCAGAGAGACTTTCCCTCTGTGGTTTAGCCTGGGAGGCTCCAAACTGTCTCCAAGAGGTGCCTCGGGCTAAATATCAGGAGCTGTACATGTGGAAACATCAAAAGAAAATAGCAGTTTAATACAGTTCAAAATCGTGTTCTTCTGCTGCGCCTTACTATTCAAAAATTATATCAAATTCAAAATTTAAACTGGGTCTTGTGGCATTGGCTTGATCCTGCAGCCAGCAGGAATAGTGACTGTAGAAAGTTCTATCATTGCAAAAGCCAGGGGGTTCATAAAAAATATTATTGGGCTTCCCTAGTGGCGCAGTGGTTGAGAGTCCGCCTGCCGATGCAGGGGACGCGGGTTCGTGCCCCGGTCCGGGAAGATCCCACATGCCGCGGAGCGGCTGGGCCCGTGAGCCATGGCCACTGAGCCTGCGCGTCCGGAGCCTGTGCTCCGCAACAGGAGAGGCCACAACAGTGAGAGGCCCGCGTACCGAAAAAATATATATATATATATTATTGACCGCTATGGCATGGCCACCCACCAATCAGAATGGATGCTGGTGCTACACCATCTTGATGCAGACCGGGTGGATGTCAGCCCTGGCCACAGCTATGCATAATCTAGGATGCTAGCTTTGCCCTGTCCTGTTAGCCTCACTCTTTGTTACAACTCAGAACATGTAGATAAAGAAGAAGAACATTGTGCTATCCAACTTCATCCCTTCCAGGGGTTGACTTCTAGAACCCATTTCAGATACACCATCACAGCAAGCTATAGTGCACTTTCTGAAGCTCTTCCTACATAGGTCATTCCCTTGAATCTGTCAGTGATCAGATGATGGTACTGTCATCGACACATTGCAGGTTAAACTACTGTGCTTTTTGAAATAACTTACACATGTCATTTCCCACAGTACCAATATGAACATGTATAAGGCCAAATGTCCTTAGGAAAGATTCTAATGTTGTGAATGGATGATTAAACCACATATATGTTGATAAGCCATAATTTGGGAGTAAGCTCTGAGGCTTTAGTTGCATTCTCATAACGAAAACAAAACACTGGAAGTATTAGGCTTTCCCAGATGGAAAACTATTGTTTATTAGAAAACATTGACAATTATAATTTTTATGTTATCACATCTCTATTTCTAATGCATTTTCCTAATATTCATTACAGGGAGATAGAATTATTCTTCTTAAAAGAGTTGATCAAAACTGGTATGAAGGTAAAATTCCAGGAACCAACAGACAAGGCATCTTCCCTGTTTCCTATGTAGAAGTCATCAAGAAGAATACAACCAAAGGTGCTGAGGATTACCCTGACCCTCCAATACCCCACAGCTATTCTAGTGATAGAATCCACAGCTTAAGTTCAAATAAGGTAAGAAAACATTCTAGCATATTAAGTATAATATTTGGGAGCTCAGAGTAACATACTCGGTACATGATTTTAGGACATTAGATTACAACATCATATCTATGGCAAAGCAAAAGATTTACATGTTATGTTTCTAAGTGCCAGGTCAAATCAATATAATTTAATTTTTCCTATGGGTGCTGGCATAAAGGTTTAAGCTACATAAAGGGAAACTACATAAAGAATCTACTATCTTAAGAGAAGCATTTTCTTTTAAAGGGCTAAGGCTAGGCATTTTATTTATTCTACTTTTCTTTGAAGACTGGGTTGCTGAGCAATTACTCTCAATCCTTTATCATTGGATAATGGAACAGTCTGGTACTTTCCAATTTTGTTTGATTGGTTATAAAATTTTCCAGAATCTTCTTTAGTACATTTACTTCACTAGCAGAGCTCAGCATTTAGAGCAACATCCTTCCTTCAGTAGTTCCTACTGCTAGTAAGAAAAGAATCTTCATCCATATCTTTGTCTTATCCACCATTCAGTCATCTTAAAAGAACTACCAGATAAATTTCAAAGCGACTGTACTTTCAAATAAAAGTTTATAAGAAAGAATAAGTGTGTATCTACAAAGGCTTATTTAAAATATAAGAAATTCTTACATGATGTCATAATATTGGCAATGTAATATTTTAGATCACAATGTTTTAATCTTTGCTGAGAATATGATTTAAACGTATTTTCAGTTTCCTAAGTTTTCTCTTAGAATACCAGATTTTACATTTTATAAATCGAGAAATGTACAAATTTCACTAATAACTAATTATTGTTTTATTCTCACTGCTGGGGAAAAATACGTTGAAAAGCTTACTTTCATAAATTTTGAAAAATATTTAATGGTTTTACCAACTGGTAATGTATACTATGATGTCACTGGCTAAGTGAAGGGAACTTCTCAGTAGTTTTGAACTGAATCATTTTCAGAAAAAGAACTGTAATGTACTTTTAAACCATGATACCCAAAATATACTAAACGTTAAATATCCTATTTTCTGACTGATATTTATAAATAGAGGAGGGAATTCATTGTGATTTATGAATCACTCTTGGACATACTCAAATCACATTTCTTGACATACTATCTTTATTTTAGGAGGGACTCAAATGTAAGTTGATGTTATTTCTGATATTTCTGCCTTTAATATAGTAGAATCCAATTCTAATGCTTTTGGAAGAAAAGATAATTATATGATGTTTGTATTATAGGTATATTTTTGTGATATAGGTATCTCGGGATACTTAATTTAACTTTCAGTAGAAGCAAGTCCACGGTAAGGCTAAGCACTTTGAACCCATTAACATGTATATTCGTGACTGTGGCGGTCATGGAGCTGGAGTAGTAGTAGCAGCAGGTAGTAATGGGATAGCAGTAGCCATGACGATAATGGAATTTAAAGACCTTTCCTCCTCAGCCACATAATGTTCCTAGCACTAAAGGTGCTATGTAGCCTTTAGTCTTGAATCTTCTGTAAGGATGCTCACAAATGTTTTGTGACATTTAATCTCATTTATCCCACCCCATGGTGACACGGCATCACATTTCTGTTTTTAAAAACTCTAACTAAATTCTATTAAAGCCCCATTCCTATCATAGGACAGAAGTCAAAAGTTAAGTGGAGAGTGCACTGTGCACTGATCCATACTAAGGCCCAAGGACCAAGAGTACTGAGTGCACCAGTGATGTGTCAGCCTAAACAGTCAACCAGCAAGTGCAGTCTTTCTTGAAGATTTTTTCTTTCCAAACCCAAATCATCGACCTGGAAAGAACCAAAGTAAAATGTCTTCCACCAGCCTCTCTCAAGGCCTTCATATGTGTAGCATATAGCATTCTTCCTAGTCCAAAAACAATACATAAATGTATTAGAATGTTTCTAGGCAACACTTCTAGAACAACTTTTAATGAATTTACATAAAAAATTCTGTTTTGTTCAATGTATCCAAAATATAGTGATAATATTGATATACAGAAGTATTTTTTTACTTCAGGAGATTAAGCTTCATAAATTAGACCTCCACTAGATTATATAAAATGTCCAGCTTTTGAAAAAAAGAATGGAAGTCCTAGCAGAAGTTTATTCCTGTTCGCATCATATGCTCCCTTTCTATGTCAACAGTTACTTTGGATTTTTTAAAACTTTGAAATAGCAGTTATGTAAGTTCAGTCTCGTTTTGATCATGGGTTTCTGTTCTTAAAAAATATCTCTCAGAACTTATTCATTTAGAAATGTGTTAACATATAATGATGTAAAAATATTTTATGCCGTATGTTATAATCACCTCACAAACCCAAGTGAGAAAATGATGAAGGTTCAAAAGATTTGGCACAGGAAGAAAGAACACTAAACAGATTCTGGGAATAAAAAAGGCTTCATTATTGGTTTTCATTCTACATTAACATTATTTCAGAGTCATTTACATTTAATCAATATCTGGAAACCTGCTTTGAAAGAAGTAGTCTAGTAAATTAAATCTCTAAAGATTTTGCTGTCTGTTCTTATAATCTCTATGACAGCTTTATCGTGTCATTTGACATTTAATAGACCTTTTCCAAATACTAGTATAAAGTATTCAGATAAATCTTTAATTAACATACTAATTATTTTATGTATTTAAATTCAAAAACTATAAGCAAATATAGACCATAGCATAAAATATTTTTTATATTCACCATCATACCTTTCTGCATTTCTCTGTCTCTGTGTTTTAATGCATTATTATTATTTTCATGTTTTTTTAACTTCATATATCCTGCTCGTTTCTAAGTTGGCTTCCAGCGAACCAGTCCCCCCTCCCTTGCACAAAGCTTCATGTGGCCCAGATAAAGGAGCTCTCCAGGGAATCACCCCGGGGTGGCTGTCCCTGACAGCCAAGTGTCCACTGGTAAAGCCTTTGGCCCCAACACTACCTCCTTTTCTGGACAACTTCTTGGACGAATTAGAGAAGCTTGGTGCTTTAGTTTTACCTGCTGACCAAGCCAAACCAAATACCCCAGAGGAGACCACCCTTGAAATTAAGGAGGACCCCTCTGTTGTCCTCCCATTGCCGCCAGCGTCTGCACCTGCCAAGCCACCCTCCTCGCTGCTACCTCTCCCCCGCCTGGGTGCGACCTCAGCTGCAGCCCAGCCCCCTGAGGCAGCGCCACTTCAGGATTCCAGAAAGACACCTCAAAACCATTTTGCAGATCTGACAACGAGAAAGGGTTCTGCAGGCCCTGAAAAAGTACCTGAGGTCCTAGGTGATAAGTTCGTGACCTCTGCACACGCTAGTGTGGGTCCCTTGCCCCTAACCCTCCCCGTCATTGGAGAAGAAGATGAGGAAATCTATGAGGGGGTCATGGCAGGTATCCGAAGAGGGCCGGAATCTCAAGAACCAGATGCCTTGTGGTGTGGCCACGATGGCACAGAGGTGACACCACTCCTGCACATAGAGGAGGAAGAAGAGAGGGAAGCTGACCGCTTAAAATTTCCAATAGCAATGCCCACAGACCCTAGGAGTCCTAAGGAAGACAGCGATGCAGCAAAACCCAGTGAAGAGGTACTCTAATTTTGCCTAATTCCTGAAGAACTAACCAGTCTTACTACGGTTAGCTAGTACAGCTAATCATATTAATAAACATCAATTTTGACACTGTCTGGGAAGGTTTCCATGCAAGAAACACAGCACTATATGAGGTAGGGGTGGAGGGATGGATAGAAACACACCAAATTTTAACAAGATGATGTAAATATGTGATATTATTCCATTATTTATTTATTACTATAAATCCATATTTAAAGATTTTTGTAATTTAAAGTCTTTCTAATTTTAATATTCATAATAATAGCTAATAGTTGAGCTCTTACTGAGTGTCAGGCAGCTTTCTAAGAATGCTACATCTTTACTTTTCAAAGCTCAGTAGGGTGGGTTATATTATTACTCCCACTTTCGGGATGAGGAAATTGCTACACAGAGAGATTAGTTCACCTCCAGGGTGAGAAAACTATACACCATATCTTTGTAGCAGTAGCAGTTTGAAAAAGAAGGGAAGAAAGAAAGAGAAAGAGAAAGAAAAGAAAACAAAAAAGAAAAATATACTGCAGTTCCTTTTCCACTCTTTCTGAAGAGGTAACTGCTTTAAGTTGGTGACAACCTAAGAGTTGAGTCCTACATATTCACCTTACAAACAAAGAACCTTGGGCAATAATTTTAATCAGTTAAGAGGGAAATGCTCTAAATCTTTAGCTTGTAAGCTTCTCTCTTTCAAAAAAGACAAAAACAAAACTTGATGTCTCAAATATTTAATCTGTGAATTAAAAAGCAAATATGATTACTGGCAAATATTGAAATTATGGAACAAAATTCATGATTCATATTATGCCACTAAGCAAGTCACTTTCCCCCATGGCTCCTCTATTTAGAAATCTTTAAAAATGAAAATCAGTTTTAAAACCCCATAATTTCCAATTGAGATCTTACCAATAACAAATGTAGAGGCATTTGGTCTATATGGGGTATTCTTGGGATTAAATAATGGTGAGTGCCCATTAGGCCACCGGACACCCACAAAACCCTGAGTCTTGGCTGTCCCCTAACCAGGTGAGAAAATGTCATCTGGACAAAGAAGGGAGCCATGTCTGCATTCGTATAAAATAAACACACTGCTTAGTAATAGAGATCATTCATTCATTGCAGTAAGTCAAACAGATTTCTAAGTCAATTACTTAAATAACTAATTTCCCCTTCAATTTAATCAAGTTTAAGATGTGGTTAGACATGTGGCTTGGTTCCCAGGAACTGCTACTGCCGGCTGCAGGCAGCACCCACAGCGTGGTGCTCAGGGGCTGAGTTTCACAGCCAGTTCCCACCATGCACGCACACGCACAGACAGAGGTCGTAACTTCCCTAGCTTTGCAGCAAACTGACTATAAATTGTGATCTACTTCACAAGCAAGTTACAAAGAGTCATTGCAGGGTTTTACGCTTT